CCAAAATACACCCTAAACCAAACCCTAAACCGTAGACCTCTAAACCTAAACCAACCCCAAATCAACATAAACCAACCCGAAACGAACCCCAAACCAACCCTAAACTAACCCCAAATACACCCTAAACTAATCCCTACACAATAAACCCTAAACCTAAACCAACCCTAAACTAACCCTAAACCAACCCTAAATACACCCTAAACCAAACCCTAAACCGTACACCTCTAAACCTAACCAACCCTAAACCAACCCTAAATCAACATAAACCAACCCTAAACCAACCCTAAGCTAACCCTAAACTAACCCTAAACTAACCCTAAATATACCCTAAACCAATTCTAAACCAACCCTAAACCCCCAAAGCCAACCACAGGACTACAACCACCAAGGGGGGGGGGACTTGTCTGACCCTGACCCATGACCATTGGGGGGGGGGGGGGGGGGGGACTGGCAACGCTGTAACATATAATACCATATATATATATATATACCCTGGTTTTACTGCCTTTTGGGGATGGCAAATCTAGGTCCATGGGGGGGTACCTTATTAGGTGTATATATATATATATACATGTCTGTCTAGACATGGCTCCTCCAAACATTATGCTTGTGGTTTGATGATAGGGTCGCCGTTTGAAGTTCAGCGGTTCATACCCTGTGATAGACTCTTCTCTGCCAATAGGACCCGACGTTTGCCCTTCATCTCCCAAGATCAGCTCAATCCGGTCCATTCTGGAGGCACCTGATAGGGTGCTGGGGTGAGGGGCCCTAGGGAACTGACCAAAGGTCTGACGCAGGGTTGCCCCTGAGCCCCTCAGCCCGCGCCCTGAAACCCCACATTAGCATATCGCTCCTCGTGCCAGGTGCCAGAGAAGTTTTTGGCCCTGCGGAGCAACGGAGCCAAGCGGAGCAACGGAGCCATTTTCCAGTTCCCGAAAAGACCTCTCAAGCAATTCTGGTCTGGGTATTTCCAGGAAAGCTGTCTTTACCCACACTTGGGTGCACCTTGAATCCGCTTAGGTTGATGCCGAAAGTCTAGCATTGGGCTCCCGCATCGCTACTGTGGATGGACAAAATCCTGCACCACCCAAGAAACCCTAAGACAAGCCTCTAACCAGACAAACAAACGGGTAGTGGCAAAGTGGTTCCACATGAAAGTCCAGGCATCTGCTCGTCCTTCTTCTATGGCCGCCGTTCTTCGGCCACAACCTCCCTAAGCATGGCTTCAGACATGAGCCGGGTTGAATGGAACAGGTTGTGATTGCCAAATGCTACAGGACTCCTGTGATGCCACTTAGCGCTCAGGGATGCATATGCAGATTGGCATATTGGCTAGTGTGAGCAAGCAGCATTGTGCCAAACACGGATAAGAGAAGCACGTCTTGACTACGTCTTGCCTTGGCTCCAGTGTGATGTAACACGTGCAAAGCTAGCGACCATCTCACGCACTCTGCCGTTCTTTTGCAACTTCTGCTTCCGTCAGCCCAAAAGGCATGGGAAGCATGGCAACGCTGAAAAGCGCTCCCAAAGGATAGAAGTCATCTTTGTCTGAGTGGGTCGACAATAGGTACCCAACATGGAATCCTGGGAAAAGCAACCAAGGACTGAATCCTGCGGTTGTCTGGCGAAGAAAATTTGACCCACACCCGTATGGGTACTGCCTTAAGCCTTAGGTTCCGCACCGGGCTCATGCCACGCGAAAGCAGTCCATTCAAGGCGTGACCGCAGACTCAAGGCTGTTCAGATCGGGAGAATCCGTGGGGGTGGATATACCACAGAAGCCATGCCCTCCGAAATCAAGAGAAACAGCAATGTACGAGTCCAAAACACTCTCTTCGACCACCGATCTGCGCCCAGCAAGCAAACACATGCTTGGTTCCACCAAGATCACCATATCCCACCCACGGAATGGGGGAGAAAGAAAAACACCTTCTCCACACGAAAAAAAGAAAGAAAAAAGAGGACCAGGATCCCCGGAAGTGTCGCCACCACCACCGAGGATCTGGGCCCAAATGGTAGCTGCCCCTCCCGAAACCGCCGGGGGTCATGGGCCCCCGGCGCTTGCTTCGGGTCCTTCAAGCTCCGCACCCGCAGCAGCGGCCTATGCGACCGATCCACGTCCCGTGATACGAATTGGAACTTACCTGTACTAAACGTGAACAACACAGTCTACCTGTGCAGGAAAAAGTCGGAAACCATAAACAAAAAATATGTTATTTGTAGTAGGAAAAGTCGGAAACCAGATTCTACCCGTAGTGAATCAAAAGAATCATGAACCAGATTCTGAGAATGAAGGTAAGCTGAGGCCTAGGCCTCCGATTTGTCAACCCTCCGGATTCCTGAGAGATGTTCCGGAACCCCCCAGGAGCCGTTTCATGGGAACCCCGAGATGAGAAGTGTGTCCCGGGAAGGAGTCCGACAAATTTCGGCACGCGCCTTCCAGCGCGGCACAGACAGACGGGGTTAAGTGCCGCCAAAACGGGCGCCTGCCTTCTGAGACCAAGATTGCTCATGGGAACCAGAGTTCGATTGGATCTTGGGCCAGAATCTCTCAGTTCTATGTGCTAAACAAAAGATTGCAATAGCAACTCCATGGGAATCACGTATAAAAGTGCCTACTTCGTATCTGCATAGACAACCTCTCAAACTGAGACAAGAACGCCCCAATCTCTTCCCTAGGCAGAATCTAATTTAAACGGTAACAATCCCAACCAAGGGGAGCAAATCCGCATTTTCCCATATCCAGAAGTGGCTGGACCCGGAATAGGCACCAAAAACCAACTGTTGGTTCTGCCAAAATGGCTCTGTGAACAAGGCAGTACCTATGATGTCAAATCCCGGCCCACCCCCAGATTACAACACAAGACAGATTCTGTTCCACACTTCTTCTAGCCAAGAATATGTCTATTTGAAGGAAATGCATGTACCAAAAATGTACGTATCGAAAAACATGGGAGAGGCTGGGAATCCGGGTTTTGGGTCGTTGGACACCAAGGGCCCGCACATGAAAGTGCCCAGGCTCTTCACCTGGCCACACCACTCCATGTCCTCCAAGGTGAACCTGGCATTTTCGGGGCCACTGGCCAAAGCAAAGGCGTTTGCGCTCAAGAATCCAACCCTCAGCATCATACCAATGCATATGGAGGGTCAATCCGGTCCACGCACACTGGAAAGGCCAGTTGCAAGCGGACGTCATTTCCTAATTCGGATTCGTCACTGGTCACATGCTGCTCAGTGCGAACGCGCTGAAATCAGTTAGAGCAAGTCGGAGCAAAGGCATAATTTATTGCACTTCAACTGCATCATACAGAAAGTTAAGTGAAACACCAGAGCAAGCGAGGGCCGGGATGTCAAGTCGAACATAACAGCGTTCCATGATTTGAAAATGCAAGTGATGTTCGGGCAATGGTCAAGGCAACTCAGGGAACACCATGAGGCACTCCCGTAGCAATCTCGAAAAGCATGTCGAAACTTATGAAATGCAAGGTTGCTTCTTAGCTGCTTCGTCAACAGACAAAACAGCTTCAGCCATGCAAACAAGAAAAAAAAGCTTCAGCCATGCGAAAACCAACCCAAGAAGATGCAATAGCAAACGTCCCCCCAACAACAAAAAAATCAGCTTTAAAACCAAAGGAACACTCGGCGCGCGACTTCTCACCACTCACTCCACGCACTTCTCGCCTGATCTCAAGCCTGCGGCGGTCGATGTTGCCTTGCGGTGAGCAGCTCGAATTGCTGCCATTCATTGGAGCTGACAAAATGACTTGTTCGCCCCCAAAAACGAGAAAACCGGAAAGCACCGGATCCACCGACCTCTGAAAATGGCCATGTGCAACTTGAAACCAGCCAGCGAAGTCAGGCAAAACCATGGAAGCGAACCCGAGCCCAGAAAACGGCCCAAACCCAGCAAGATTCAGGGAGGCATCGGCCAAGCTCAAGCAGATGCAGTCAGACTTCAGCCTTGCCCGAAAACTCTCCGGACATTGGGCCGCTCACTCCTGTCAACCATAGGAGGATGTGGCAACTATGGAATCCCAGAAGAGGATCTAACGAAAACAAGTTCTGACACATGCAGCGACCCAGACCTCTAAATGCACAGGCACAAGTTCATGGCTGGGATGCCAATCCATGAAATGAAGACTATGAAGGTGTCAAACCCGCGGTTGTTGCATGGCATTCGGAAAACAATCCAAAAGCGGTTATTTCACAATCTTGATCTCCCCAATCAATTGAACAAACTGGAAGCCACGAGCCTTTCGCGGTCTTTTAAGTAATCCTGGGCAGACTTGCTTTTTTGGGGGCGGAGGAAAAGGGCACCTCCCTACAAATCGATAATGTTATCCACATGGAAACCATTTGGCCATGGGCCAAAATCCAAATCGTACCCCGGGTGAACATCCGATTCAATCCAACCACTAAAATTAGGTTCTAAAAATAGGTGGTGAATTCACCAACCAACCAAATTCGTACCTTTGGTTTTGACAACCACTGCCATTTAACCCCTGCTCGACGCCTCGCAAAGCCAAAACCAAAACCCCGCGCAAAGCCGGCGCCTGGATGGCGCACGTCTTCCAGCCTGCGCCGAGAAACCCTTGCGGGGCTTCGCCATACTGTGGATGGATGCCAAATCCATTTCGCACCACCTAAGAATCCCTGGCATGATGATTCCCTTGTAAATACCAACAAACGCTCTGGTTTCAACCATGGTTTCCAAGTGGTGCAGGAATTCGTCCACCCACAGTAGCAGAAATGTTCAGTGGTAGGACCCTTGGACATCATGTGGCTATGGGTCAAAACCCATAGACCCCCAGTGAACATCCCAATCCAACCACTAAAAGAGACATGTTAAGTGGTTGGACCCTTGGGTGGACATCATGTACTTGGTTGATTTTCAGAAGGGCCCCTCATGAAGTCATGAAGAGTGGGTTTTTGGACACACAGGGATGTACTTGTTTTTTGTTGCCTATGTTTCCTTTGCACCTTTTCCACAAAACCAAGAA